TTACTTTTTTCCCAACAAATCACTTTCCACCATTTCTTTTAGAAAAACAAACCTTCAAACACAATTCAAAAATGCACATAAGCTTCAAACATACCTTCCACTGCAACTACACAAGCAGTTTCACAAAGAAAAAAACAATGCCAACTAACAATCTACACCATCTTTCCTCTGATTCCCGTCAACTGGCGTCTTCTTTTACCCATCCCATTTCCGATCTGCACATGATACATAAAAATTTCGAATAATCTCTTTCTGTTCGATATTTTTCCTATCTCATCAATAAGTAAACCACTATTATACTAAAGTGTGAATACATTATCTTACACACACTATATTAGATCATATTAGATTTGATATAATTGTGTGATAGGTTTATGTTGGTGGTGTTCTCTGTCTGATGATGGTGTCTGTGAATAGATACCGAAATATCACATAATATAAAATAAAAGATGATTTTTGCTGTTCTTTTGAATTATTTTATTATGTTATACAATTATCCATTTACTTTATCTTTAACAGATATCTCGCTAATGAACGAGAACACATCATATTCCGCGATGTTGAACATTCCGGAATCAGTTCTGCCCCTGAATCAGTTCCGTTCAATTCCGGGAACTCGATCATGATTCTGTAGAACAGGCTTAATCGATATTGATCGGGTTCCGTCGATTTCCGGAATTCCGCGAATTGAATGAAGACGAAGTTATATGGAATTCCTAGGTATTCCTTCTGATTCCAGAATTCCGGGAAAACAGTGAAGACGGAATTATACGGAATTACGTGAAATTCCTTCTGTACCGGAATTCCTTGCAATTCCGGAATTGGCGGAACTCGATCGGTGTCGAGTTGGTCTAGTATGCCGAATGATGATCGGGTTTCCGGAATTAGATGGAACTGATTCCAGGAGGAACTGATTCAGCAATATTCAACATTGCGGAATAGGATGACTGTTCTAATGAACGAGACAGTATCTTTGTCTAAGTTCGTCAATTAAACATAGCCATGCATTCGAATATTTTAATATATTCAAATGTGTTTAATAGTGTTTCAGATTAGATAATAGGATTATTGATTGTAGTAGCAAACGTTTTTTAAAGAGCTATTCATTTTTAGGTATTTGAGCAAAAACGGTATATTCGTCATGTCATTCCATAATAAGAAATAAACATTAGTTGGTTTTTATTTATGGCAGTTAACTTTGCTTTCCACGTTAATAAGTGGTATAATACAAAGTTTTCGCAAGCTATCATATCTCTTCTTGAAAAACTATTGTTTTACAACAGTTGACAGTAATACGTTGATGGTTTTTTCCTAATGTTTTAGATTTATGAAAAGATACTTTTTGATAATGATTCATCAATTAAAAGTAGATGTGTAGGTGACTAGTGTAAATCTTTCATTATGTACCAGCGTACAAAATTCTGTCCGCATTTTTAGGCTTTTTGATCTTGAACGAATGATGAATGCAACGAGTTTTCGACATGCACTTTTCACTGTACCAAAGAGAACTTTTTGCTGAATATATTTACAACGTAAGAATTACCATTTAAATTAGATTTTTCATTTGTTGTGCCAAATAAGCATTCTATGATCTGCCGGTGCATCATTTTCAGCTTTTTATCAGAATTTGGTAAATGGTTAATATAGAGTAAGTTTTTCCTCCAAAATGAGAAATAGAGAATTTCAGCTCTTCGTAAACTGAACGACAGAGTTCGTTGAGAGCAGTCAAAATCTGCACGATGCATGCTTTATTAAAATACAGTTGACTACAGAGAAATATATCATTACTTCTCCAATTAACCAGTCTATAGATTTATCAGACAAGATCTCGCTATGACTATGGATTCGACTTACCGATATAGAATCACATCTCAGCTAGATAAAATTGTACTTTATTCGTGCATTCGTACATTGCTGCATTTTTCTGTGGATATCGAAACGAATAGTCTTATGATTTCTTGAAGGTGTTTGAAGCCAATATTGTCGAAAAAACTATTGTGAAAATATCAGTTGTATATCTATTTTAGCAACACTTTTAATGAAAGTCTAGCTAAAAGCGAAGGTGCCCTACATTTTGAGACATCCAGATACTTTCTTTGACTATTTTCCTTTTTTTCACACAACGCTTCGCAAAATTTCGAACCTTAGTTTTTTAACAGTATTTTTTCAATAGAACATGAACTGAATGCATCAGTTGAAGATGAATGTGGTGTTGAAATAATTGAAGATCATGTTACATTCGTAGCTAATTATTCAGTAGAGGAGCGGTACGAATGTTGTCATATTTTCGAATATCATCGACATTGAACTTCGTCTTTTTTTATAATTTCACTATTCTCTGATCAATACAAAATTATGCATATCGAAAACAAAACCTTTCCAATAGGTTATATTTTTGTTTGTTGTGTATGATTGGCTGTGAACGTGGATGTGGGTGGGTGTGGATGTGGGTGGGTGTGGAAGTGGATGACTGCAGAGGAACTTCACACTCACACCCACACCCACCCCCTTGTTGTAGTCTTAGAAGAACTTCTATGTTTTATTTATTCAGCTCAACTTAATAAATTGATATAAATGTTTTAAATCCGTCAATACTTCGAAGAAAAACATCCTTGATTATCTGTCGTAAGACCCATGTAACCATCAAGCGTATTTTAGACGCAGCTAGATATTTTTTGTTGCAAATCTACGCCGTTCGGATGCGTTTTCATATCGAAGCATGACGGAAACGCATCTAGATGCACCGATCACTGTGTTTCTTGAACGCGTTTCGAGAACATTCATAGTTGCGGAACATTGCTTAGACAAAACGCATTTTAATTTTTATTCTAGAACGCGTTGGGACGCATTCATGTCATTTTATGTCTCTAATCACGTTTACTAATTAAAAGAAGCTGTCTCTCTTTTAGTGAACGCTATCTGATCGACAGAGTCGATAAAACGCGTTTCAAAAGAGGGTGTGTGGGTGTGGGTACGAAAAGAGGACAAAATTCACACCCACACTCACACCCTTTATAAAGCTGTTGATATTGGTTAATAGTCTTTGCAGTAATGAATTCTACAATGACTATGTTTTAATTTCGTTACTGCTTCGGTGCATTGATCGATGGAAATAAACTTTCCAATATATCTAAGCGACGACAAAGTGATTCAAGTAAAACATAAATATCTTTGTGTGAAAATTTATTTTATAATAAACTATAAGGGCGATTATCCTTTTCGAAGTTTCGACTTTTCTGAAACGTTAATGTTCGTGTTTTGCACCTTAGTTTTCACTCTCGATGAAATCGACATGTTATCTACTGTAGTTTGGAGACGAATATAGTAGTGTATCCGGTAACACTAAAGTGCATCTCTTTATGCATTCGTGTGATCGATATTTTCTCCTATATAATGTTTGTTTAAAGAAAGAAAGAAAAATTGCCTTATAATTACTATGAAGAAATAATTTTAAGAATTCAATAACTTTATTATGGTAATTTAGTTAAGATCGAATAATTGTTTTCGATGTATAAGACACTATAAGGACTATGTTTCTATGTAATCAAATCAAAAAGCATTTTTCTGTTAAAAGAGAGAGAGTGACACGAAGGAAGACCGGAGTGTCCTGAATCGATAAAATCATTTTTAATCATTGAAATTTTTTTATTTGAAAAATTTACATTGCTGAGCTTGTGTTTCACTTGTTTAAAGAGACCAGTTTATATTTTCAATATGCTGTATTTGTCCGAGCGAATAAAAGGTCTCTATTTTCCCTTTGTTTTCATTCTCGCTCGCTGACCATAGCATTTCATTGCTGTTGAAGTTTTCATATATAGAGGTGTAAGGCGTACGGCTGAGTCGTTGCTGTGGTACAAAAAAAGAGACTAGTTTTTCCAAAGTTTTAAACGCTCAGAATCCGTTTTCGGCAGTGTCGTTCCAATAGAAAAGGAAAAAGAGCTGTTTTAATCGACTTTTTATGATTAAAAATTTATTAAAATCCAACGAAACCTGTTTTCGAAGCTGAAAACCAATTTTTATTCTGCTCAATCAAGAAATGACCGATTTCAACGTATTTTATCGACATGTTTTTGTACCAATACGAATATTTTAGTATAGTAATCCTAAATGTGACAGGTATATCAAAGGCTGATGTGACACTATATTTACCATTTGTGAAGCCGGGAAGTTCGAAAAGTATTCAAAATCTTGAGTTTCTAAATAAAAACTCGTGAAAAACGCATTTTATAACCACCGTGATTACAATCGATCACAAATTGAATAATCTGATTTAAATTAGGCTAAAATCAGATGTTTTTGTATGACTTGTCTACAGCAGTTTCTTGTTAGCCAGTACTCTACCAGCATTTTATCTCTTTTTCTTTTTGAAGTCTCTTGCAACGAGGAAGATTGTTTAAAAAGTCAATGAAAGTGTCAAGCCGCCGTCTATCATTTAATCGGCTTATAATTCTATTCATATAGGAGAGTTCATGCTTGTCCGTCAGCTTCATGTATTCATGAAACAAAGATCGATAGATTTGTCTCTTACATTGCCTTTTTCTACAAACATCTAATATATAAAGGTTAGGCCCCGTTTCGTCGAAAATGAAAAAACAACTAGCTTCGTTTCGTCGAAAAATAAATTCTAATTAATTAATGAAGAATAGATTTTATCATTTGATGAGATTTTTTCGTCATACTAATCAGGAATAGTGCCTAATTACTTGTAGATAAATTTGTGAAAATGAAAATTTATTATGGAGCAGGTTTAGATACATAAATAAGAAATTATTAAGAGAAAATATGGTAAATTCCCCTTTCGTCGAAAAATTAAATTATAATGAAAAAGAGTATAATCAGATTGATAAGCGTAATTCCTTTGATTGACTTAAACTATTTCCTTAAAAAGAAACTAATTGATATTTCTATACTAAAAGTTTGTAATTTTGCAAAAGTATAGATGTGGAGTAAAAATTGAGATTCCATTTTTTTTCTATATTCAATCATTGTTACACAAAACGATGCTATCTATTGTTGTAAGTGAACGTAATAAATCAATTTTATTACTTGATACTTTTCACTATACACAAGATAAAATTTTAAGCATAACTATTTATTGGAAATGTGAAAATCGTTCATGTCCTGGACGTGTTATACAATATAGATCAAATTCATCAAGCATGAAGAAATCACATAATCGTGATGGTGATGAAATGAAAGAATGGATGGAAAAATATCGAAAGGAAAAATGTTGAAAATAGAGGCACCACTTTTTACATGTTACCGCATCACTTACATGTTTTTTTGGCGCCTCTATTGTCGACATTTTTCCTTTCGATATTTTTCCTTTCGGACTGTTTCCATCATACCAAATCTAATGTAAAGTGGAAGAACTTAGAATGAATTTAAAACGACGTATTGAAGATTCACCGCAGCCAGTGAAAAAAATTTACAGAAAACAAATAATATCATTATGTACAACGTCACCACAAATGACACAATATACACCAATGTTTCATGAAATGAAAAATTCATTATATAAAACAAGAAATACAAGTTATCCATCTTCTCAACGTACAATTGATAATGTTAATATTGAAGGAATATGAAGTAAAACTTTAAATGGTGAACAATTTATTTTTCATAATTCAAAACATCCCATATTCAAGACATTAAAATCTCTTAAACAACTATCAAAAAGTGATAATGATCGTCTATTTTTTGATGGGACGTTTAAATCATGCCAAAATCCATTCTATCAATTATATTCAGCTCATTCGGTAAATAGCGAATTATCCACATCAAAATTATATACTTTATTACTTGATAGAAAAAGTGCAACATGCATATCGATTATTAATAGTATATTAAATTTATGTCATATAAACAATATTTGTTTGAATCCTAAATTTATTACAATCGACTTTGAACAGACTGCTATTCTTGCCATTAAATTAATTTTTCCAAGTGCCATTATTAAAGGATGTAATTTTAATTTAGCAAATGTATGTATACCAAATTACAAGATTTAGGGTTTCAATCTGCATTTATCAATAAAAAATTAAGTGACATCAATGAAATTAATGTAAGAAATCTTTATTAAAAAGCATGCATACTCGCATTTATGCCACGACAAGAAATTGGTAAATTATAGGTAATGATAATGGATGAATATCAAGATATTGACAATATCGAAGGCTTTTTTGATTATGTAACAAATACATGGATAGATGATGATGCCTTATTTGATTATGTATTATGGAATTTTTATGATTTTAAAAGTTTAAGGACTAACAATTATGTCGAAGAATGACATTATCAATTAAATAATGATTTAAATAATGTTGTACATCCACATTTTTATCTATACATTCGTGAAATTCAAAATGACAATGCGTATAATTCGCCAATATCATCACGTCATTTAGCAACTGGTATATTACCTCCACGAAAAAGTTTATTTGTAAGGGTGTGGGTGTAGGTGCAGTTCTCTGTCATGAACACTCACAGTCACGCCCACGCCCACGCCCACACCCACACCCTCGATTTGAAAATTCTAAATTATCAAAAATCAAACAAAATTTTTCCATAAACTTACTGATTTCAGATAATAATTGTGGATTAATATGTACAAGTCGATGTCGTTCACCACGGTGACGTAATAAAACCAGTAATGTATCGTATGGCTGATATTAACTGTCATAAATAAGAAAAAATAAACGATATGGGCGAGATCCACACGTACTTTTCAATGTTCTGGGTAATTTGAATTGATTTCCACCACTTTGTTGACAATAAGTTCGAAGATTCCCTACTGTAGTACACAAATCTTTAAATTCAATATTGGTTGTTTTCAAATTTTTCCATACTGTTTCTAAAATAGTATTCGTTCGGTGTGCCAACCAAGAATATCTTATTTCATCAGTTAGATTTAGAGTTTTAATCATATTTGATTCTTGATCAGTAGTAACAGGTGTATTACCAAATGATAAATTAAATGATTTGAAGATTTCTTCAATTTCATACCAAATATTAATTCCAGATTTTTCTTCTTGAAAGCGTTTGTATTGTAATAATATATGATTTAATTCATCAATATCATTAACAAAGAAGATTGTAAAATCTAAGTAAGTTCCCTTTATTAAATCATCAGTCAAAAGATCAGCCGCGTAGCTGCTACACGGCGTTTCTTAATTGGTTTTTCTAACACCGAACGTACTTGATCAGTATATTGATGGAACTTCGATATAGCTTCTTCCCCGAATTGTTTGTCTTCCATAAAAAATATCATGAACATCCACTATACCAAGATTAGCTCCAATTTCAAAACTAGTTTGAACTAATTTCAAAACACCATCATTTTCTAATGATTTAAATGAATGTGAACCAATGATAATAAATTTTAGGATGCGTGCGGATGTGGGTGTGGGTGTGTGTATCGGTGTCTGAAATAAGGGAGGACGAACATCCACACCCCACAACCTCACCTGCGTCACTCATTCCACATCCACGCCCTTGTTTTACTTTGAAATAAGTAATAGACGGATTATTTTTATCGAAATTCATTATGAACATAAATATTCTGGATAAATGTGAAGGCTACTGCGTTGCTAATTATATCTAAGTATATATGATCCGACACACCTGTTTGATCGTTCTGCACACATATCTAATCTTAAGCTAGAGAAGCTCATAACGGCACTTTTCTTAACCACGGTGACACGGAAAATGTTTCAAACATACTATTGCTACAGCGGCACCTTTTTTCTAAGGAAGATTGTAAAATTCCATGAATTTGCATCCGATGTTATTATTTACAAGTTCAACAGTCAGAAGCGTGATAAATCTGATGAAATCAATTTAACAGTAGTAATTTAGCATGACAATAGACAAGATTTTTCGAGAATGTCTCAAAAATCATTGTGTCCACAGCGCGACAACAGCAAATTTCTAGCTACGAGGGACATCTCTGTTCTAAGGAAAGTTTGATTATAAAAAAACACATTGCATATAACACATCGCATAAATAGCATGTCTCATAGTTATGCATAGCGGAAATATGGTGCCACACACTTTCGAAAGACCCTGCCTCAATGTCATCTTTGGTTAACTTTTGCGAATCTATTCTGTTTTCCCTGCTGGTTGCACGATTTCTAAGCATTCCTTCATACATTTAAGTTTTTGTTTAGAAGAACACTGTGCACTAGATTCTAGACTATTTCACTCATATAAGATTTTCTGTTAAGTCATGTATTGTCTGTATAATATTTATCGAACGAGTGTCGATGATGCATTGGCTTTTTCATTGTTTCTTCTATTTGCTTTTGAACGTATGCCCCAAATAGTATGAAAAACGGATATTAACGTGGGTAAGATTGAAATTAAGAGTAAACAATAGGCGATTCGATACAAAGTGGGTTGGCAATATGTAGATTGTGATCGATCATAATATTGAACTTTGTTCCATACACTAAATATCCAGAAACATCCAGCGATAAACCATCCAATGAGAAAGATACTCAGAATCAGAGTAGCGATGCCAAAAAGACATATCAAACCACCAAGGCCAAGTACGGTACTCTTCGTACCCAAAATCGCTTTTCGAATTGTCACAATGGTTCCGCCAATGATGAATACAAGAAATGCACCAATTATCGCAAGGTTCACAGCACCATTGACCACCATATAATGAGGAATACGTGAATTAACTGGGCACTGATCAGCATGAAGAGAGCCGATAACCAAATGAAATACTACAAAATGACAAATCAATTGGAGTATAGAGTAGAAAAAAACGTTAGGGAATTATGGCAACCCTAAAGTCGACTGATGAAAATGTAAAACAATGTTTTTGTATATAATATGAATGATTTTTAGTGATTGCCCGAACACCTGATGATTTATGCACGGAAACAGAAGAGACATATCATCATCACTTACTCGCTACTATCAACGAAACAGCAAGACAACCCAATATTTCAGCTTCTCCAGTGATGAAGGAGACAAGGTAACCTTTCTTAGCAACAACAAGAATATTTTCTGTTTTCTTGTCTATCACTGCTGAAGTTGGAGTTTCGATGCTTTTCGTTGGTTCGGTAATCCCAAGAAGTGGGATGCTCGAATCAGCACCGTGCTCTTTTGGTTTCTTCAATGTTACTATAGTTTTGTCATCCATGGTGTAAAACATCTGCGATGAATAATTTCATTCACATCTTTATTAGCTTATACACTATTGAATATAGAATGTTGTGCTCTCTATAAGCAACAATATTGATGAAGCATACATTTTTTTCTCATTCTTGAATCAATAGGCATCGATTTCTGTTCATGGTTCTTCTTCAAAACCTTGATTGTCGCATAGGCTACAAACGTTGTGTACCACTTCAAAATCGGGACGTCTTTCTCACTTTATTCATCACACTTTTCATTTTTTCTTTTTCTTTTGCTGCTGGGTTGTTAATGCATCGCTAACGGCAATGCAAACCGAATTTGATTGATCGACAAGCAATAGTTTGTCAACGGTGGTTGACGTGCGGCTATTGCATTTTGTCAGCACTAAATTTTGCCATCAATATGCACATGTAAGAGTGTTGAGAGTGAGAGTATATGGTTGTGAATGAAAATGTGACGGAATATCGAAGATCGTTACTCTCATTTTCACCAACGTCGGCATTCGAACCTTCAATCGTCTCTTACGTTGTGGGTCTGGATTTGTGAATCCTCTTTTAACATACATATCTACGCCTTTTTACTCTGCCATGTTCAATCATGAATTGGCTTTTACACAAAAAGACTGAAAGGCATACGATGGGTGCAACGAGTGTTCGAAAGTCTATGGGTATGGGTGTCGATTTGCAGTGTGGCTGCGGGATGTAGGGATGGAAATGGAGTTGGATGTGAATAAATAGCATATAGGTACTCATACCCACACCCACACCCTTCATAATACTGTTTCGATCATCTTTTGAATCGTGAGTAGCTGAAATAATATCTGAGTTTAAAACACAGAACCCAATTGGTTCTCGCCGTATATTTAATTTTATAAATGAAATGACTGATTGTTATTATCTTCAAAATGCCTTCAATACTGACTGGTCTTTGGAGACTGGTAACAAATCGAACACTTATTTGTTCGTAGGTACACCACATGTATTCACTAATAGTACATGCAATTGTGTCACTTCGAATGAATATTATGAGCCAATGAAAATCGGTCCACCCGATTTCGTACCACGTGAACTTGTTATCGGTTGGACAGCGCTTTCTAGACTTCGTTTGTCGACATTAGAATACTTCTTCTCATTGAATTGTATTGCTGACATAATCTCTGATCTCAACTACTTTACACGAATGGGCGGTGTTGTTTGCCTAATAGTTTGATAAGCATAATTATAGACGAATTCTTCAATTGAGAAGTGGATAAATGTAAGTTCTTTTGAGAACTAATTATTTTCGTATGTGTGCGCCAAGTTTGTGTTAATATGAAATGGTTTTGTGCAAAAATGCGTTATACGTGATAACAGCATTCCTTGATCACTATGATGGACTTGTTGTTGGTTGGCGATTCATTATTCGGCATACATTATACTTCTCTCGAAAAATCAAAGTATATTATAGGGCTCGTGTCCAAATCGAAGTATGGGTCATACCAGTGGCACTTAGATCTAACCAATCACACAAAATTTAGTGAACTCAATAGAAGCATAAAATGCTATATCATTTTATTATTTATTATCTGCGCTTTTATTATATTCCTATTTATGAATACTTTTAAAGTTTATTCAAATAAATGTTAAAAAACTGCAATATGTTTGTACTAATGCGCGATAAAATCGTGAGTGTAAGTTTTAATTTAAAAGTAAAATTTTCTCTTCAAAAACATCGACAGTTTTAAGAATCGTATAAAAAGTAGGAATAGAAAGAAGTCTACGAAAATCTAGATTTTTGCGGGTTTGTATTTGTCAACAGTTGATATCAAAATGCACATTCGAAGACTGAAGGAGAACTTGCGCTTGTGTCTGCTTCTATTCAATGATTGTGGACGAGGAAAAAATTCACACCCATACCCCCAAGATATCTTGTCTCCCTCAGTTGTGCATTCAATATAACGAATAGATTCGATCATATGAATTACACATGTATGTTGGTCTCACCATGTAGCAAAGTGAGCTTGAATAGCTGTATAATATTTTTCAATAATAATGACATCATCTGTGTGTTTATGCAAGTTCTAAGTAATCATCTCTAGCAGGAGTGTCAGTATGAATGTGCGAGAAGAGACAAATAATACTCATACATTTTGAAATAATATTGGAGAAACATTATTTTGAATAATGTGTTTCACGATATTAAAAAAAAACGAAGGATTTATTTCGTCTTTCGACAATTATCTTTTTTTAAATAATCCCTGGATTTTATAGCACATATGACACACAATATATAATTTAATCGAAAAAAATTGTTTTCTTTTTCGATTAGTGATACAATTTGATTTTATATAAAAAAAATAATGCGTACTCGTTTAAGATAATGAAGTTAATGTACACTTACATAGGCTTGAAGTACAATTTGCGGGGTTATGACGTTGGTCTATATCTTTATCGACAATACCGATAAAAAGAAGTATGTTTCTAATTTTAATTTTCTACCTTTTGTGAAGACGAAAAAGAATCAAGTAATATCAGATAAACGCTTACAACTCATATAAAAGAGTTGAATTGTACGTTGACAAAAAATATCAAAAAGAAATTCTTCTCTGTAAATGCTATTGCAATTTTAGAAAAAATTATCTCAAAGGTTCTGTTCGTTGTACTAAAACTTTCATAAAATAATTAACCTCTTTTCTTATAATTTCATTTAAAATGATATGAAATTGAAATTAAAAATAACCAATCTACGAGAAACAGCAAAACAAATAATTTAATCTTTCAACAAAGAAAAAGAAAATATTCGAATTCTTCAAATAAAAACAATGTATTAATGAAATAATAAACTTATTTTACTTTTTCTTTTTTTAGAAAAGATGGACTTGATTATGCATTTCTGTTTTTCGTACGCTTTTATAAATAACTAAATATTCAATTGTGTAAATGAACTTGATTAGAAATTGAAAGTACTTGAACACATTGCATTTTTTTCACCAGAAGATGAAACATCTACATTAAGAATTACACTTAAGTTGAAACATTGGTAATTATTTTGTCGGTGATATTAATGGTCCACGAGTTATATCAAATTTTCAATGAGGCATATGAGGAATTTGACTAAGTGTAAATCGATCACATGTAAACATTTCTCCAGTTATTGGTTGGGCTATTATTTAAACATTGAAAACAAAGATTACGATTACGTGATTTATATGCTTCAATTGATAAACACCAACGATCAGCACGACTTAGTTGACAATCTTCTGGAAAAAAAAGTACCAGTTAATTATTTTAATCATTCTCTCTGAATTTATTTCATTTTCTTGACATAATGAGTGTATTCAGTGAGTTTCTGATCATTTCCGTGCTTGAAAGTCTTTAAATTAATAGGGATTATCAATAGGATACTATATTTTATAGTCCAACAAAGCTTTCTTTTCTAACAATTGATATTAATTTCACGCAAACCATCTTAAATTTGTTATTATTCTTCCGAGTCCTGTGCCATTTGGACTAATATTGTCTTCGTTTCTTCTTCATTTAACTAGAGATTTTATCGACAAAAACAAGCAATGAATTGATAACAAGAAAAGCTTATGTATAATCAACGAATCTTCAATTTATTCTTAAACTGATCCGATTTCCAAATAGATGCGAAATATAACACCAGAGATGAACTGCTATTGAATTTCTAGCCATTTTAATGATATAAATTCATTCCTATAAAGTTTGCTGGCCTCATAGAAATGAGAATACTCACTTGTTCTGTTGCTTGACACTATTCGCCAAAAAAAAACCCATTTATATACAAATTTTCAAGCAGATATGTTTCGTTCCGATACTTAAGAAAATCAACAATTCAATCAATATGATTTTTAAGTCCCATGAATTTTCAAAGAAGAGTGACATCATCGATTGATCGGAAATAGATAAAAACATACAAAGTAATTGTCCAACAATTTGAATTTCGATATCCTAAAAAATAAAAACTAAGGTCATTATTCTATGTTATGTTTATTTAAAAGCCATGAAGCAAAGAGTTACATAGGCAACGGTCTTCATTTTTTCTTATATCGAAATACTGACCTGAAAATGATTTTGTCTGTGTTCAGTGATATAAATGCCACAAAAATTTATAATTATTCAGTGAGTTCTTGTACTCGTTGTGGATGGACCCAAGATCACTAAGAACTGTGCGTGCAAACCAGCAAGTTGAACGAGAGTAAGAAGCTCAATTACACACCTATCGCGACCTAAAAAGTGACGAAAAATTAAGAAGAAACGGCATGCAGAAAGATATTCATGTACACAGTTGAACCACATCGTTCATATCTTGAACATATTCAAATAAACAAAGACCATATCATAGATTACGGTTGAAAACGCACACTGTCTTCATAATGATTCAAATTGAAGATAATTTACCATGGTAATGGATAGTGTGTAGCATTAACTTGAAGTTTGAACTACTTATTTGTGTGCTTATTTGTTAATTCAATTATTTTCTTGTCACAATCAATTTCAATCTCGTGCGTATCTTATGTTGGTATATCCACATAGTCAATAATGCCTGGAAGAGATGTAGAAAATCTAAAGAAAGAAACTCAATTTATCATTATTACTATTCATTCGTGCAATATCGCAGTTGACCGACTGCGATTTCCAGTCGGACATTCGCGGTTCTTATGTTTGAAGATTTTCAAGCATCGTCTCGTCATTGTGCGTTATCTTTCCATCACGAATAAACCAATCGAAGAAGAACTTGGGATTATGGAGAGATATTTAGTGCATGTTGCTTTGACTGGTTATACCAACAAACGTATACGATGAATAAAATTGCTCAAACGAAATCCGTTCATAATGCATACCTCTTATATGCACTCGATTGACACGAAACGTTCCATCCAATTGGTTTTGTCCAATATGTTTCGCTAGTTGATTGATTTCGAGAAGTTCAATGAGTTCATTCATCTGGTCGAGTGTAGTACCTGGAAATCACTTCTTCAATTCGATAATAAAGTTAATAGTA